TTATTGATATTTTCAGATTAAGAAAGAAGAGAAGATACAAAGAGCCAGAGATTTAAAAACCATTGAAGTGTACAGGTTAGTCATGATTTGTGAAGTACAAAGGCCAGAAAGAATTTCACATCACCATTGCTCTCTCATATTACACCCTTCTGTCATTTCTATCAGGGGTCTTGGGACTATTATTCAAATTTAATCGTCTGAATTTGCACAAATTGTGCAATAATTACTAAACATTGAAGTTTCAATAAGTTTTGGCATTTCTGAATGTTGTCAATTGTTTTGACATCCAATTGGATTGTTTGTTATTGAATTTCTAAATAATTTTGAGTAGCATTCTGATGCACATGGATTTATGCAGATTCACCCCTGTAAAAATTATTTTGTGAATCTGTCTAGAATAATACTCAAATAGTTCTCACAATTCATGCATATCCAACCCATCCAATGTTCAAATGAGAGATCATTCAATAGGAATAATCTCAGAAACATAATCAACATAATATATTCACAACAGCCAGAAGCCTGTGAAAACATTCCCAGCTATTTTAAGACTGATAATGATACTATTCACAGTCTGTTGTCCTATTGATCTGTTTTACACATTGACCAATACTCCAACTGTGCTGCATTCATACTGGTACATACTTTGTGATATATTGCCATAACCTCATATTACACACTTCCCAGTAAATTTATAATACATACTGATTTCATTGCAGAGAGAGATCTAAGAAAGAAGGCATTCGTAGCATGCTGCAATCGGCTATAACCACTGAGCACACAATCCATCCATCGTTTGGCCATGCTGAATTCTTTGAATTTATCTTGAAAAACCCTTACAACGTACAGCATACTGTCTACATCCAGTGTGACGACCCTGATTTACAGTAAGTTGCATCATTTACTTGTAACACTTGGTCAATCCTATCAACTCAGGATGACGTGTTACATTCCAATAAAATGGTTTCCATAAATGTGGTTAGATCCTTGTACATCAAGTGTCCATAGATAATAATTAATAATCTATAACAACTATTTAACATAAAATACAAAAACGGAGAGATGTCATTGTGTCAGTGCTTTCATTTTTCATTTTCTCAATTTTCAGAGTTGTGACAGATACCAGAGAATGGAGACATTACAAGCAGTTGACTGAAACATATACCCCAGTAGAAGAGAATATGTTTTCAGGTGAGGCACAAAATGATCTGCCAGGAATTCAAGTCTTCTTACGACCCAAAGAGTCTATTAATATACCCCTCAAGTATCAGAGTTTCAAGGCTGATCATTCCGTCCACCCACAGGTAAGATTGTATTTGTAAGATTAAAATATCTATAACAAGTCTATAACAAGCCAACTGTTTATTAAAATCCCAAGCTACAATTCAATTCGTGAGCTTGTTTGCCAACCTGCTGCCACGATACTTTTCAAATAATTTTTGTGAAAGGCTTGGCGGCTTCCCTGTCATAAGTACATGATCATTTTCGCATGTTCAAATTTTCTGATTTCATGAAATTAAATCTGTTTACTGTACATGTCTGTTTTTGTACACAATACATACCTATTTAAATTAAAGTCTTAAGCAGAATGTATAGAACCAGTCAGGAAACTTGTTGTATGCAGCCAATCAGGACAACTTTTATTGAATGATTTCTCTAATTTATTTCAGGGTCCATATAATCCTCACAGGCCGCTGATTAATATGCAGATGCCAGAGCAGAATAAAGTGGACTTATCATTACAGTCAAGAAACACAAAGGTATCTTTGGCAATATTTGTGGTTAAATAAAAACTTATCTACCCTGGTATTTTGTACAATATGGTACATGTAATTGATTATTCACTAATGAATGCAACTTTGGGGAAACTTTGGTTAATGTCTGCAGGGGCATGTGTGTGACTGGGCCTGGTTGACACCAGGATAACGCATTAAATTGCCCCAATGCCATTATGATAAGAAGATGGTCACACAGTCACCTAGTCTCAAACATGGAAAATTTGGCAAAATACCAACTCTTGCAATTTACACATAATAAAAAAAAAAGGCAGGAGAGACAACAATGATATTGAATGTTCGAAACTGTTGTTTGGCATCAAAAAAAAAAAAAACTTAGTTTTTACATAAGCTCATGCAGTTCTAACAGTAACACTGTTTATTTGTTGTTTGCAGGTATATTTCAAGACTGGAGATGACCGACCAATTGCTATTCTATCATTAAACATTGAACCACAACCACAGATTGTTGACCAGACATTCAGGTTTCATCATCCAGAGCAGTCATTTCTCAAGAAATCTGTCAGATTACCACCATTCCAGTCATTACCAGGTACAGATAAAATCACGTTATTATAATCATGACTTATAATAACTGCATAGTAGTGAGGCATGTAAAAAAATCACCAAATAAACAGCCGATAAATATTACATTATTTCTAGTAAGTGAGTACTATGTGTCTAATATCCTTTGGAGGGTGCAAAGCTGCCGCATGGAAGATTGTTTTCAACTTCAACTGTGTTATTTCATTGTGGCTTTTGTTGCCTGAACACCTTGCAAGATTATTTCGATGTCGTTCTAGTAATTAATTTCTAAGTTTGCGTTATAGAGTCGGTAGATTAGAAACTATTGTAGTCTGTGTACGTTCAGATATACCGGTATCAGCAATGTGTTTCAATAATTGCATTACTGGCCTAAGTTTTAACTTATCATATCCTGTTGGAAAGTATCTATTGTTTTCAATGATATTATTTAACAATTTAATTCAAAAAGGCTTGCAATACAACTCACCATTTAGTACATGTATTCACTGGTACATAAATAGGGTTTTCATTTACTAAATGCTGATTTAAGTAGCAAATTTTATAAAATTATTTTTTGCTGTTTTTTAGGTGCTCCAGTTGGTGGCGCTGGTCTTCACGGTTTGTTTGTAAGATGCAGTGATCCCAATGTGATATGTGAATCAAAACGTGTGGTAAGTAAGCAGTCTTATTGAACATATGTAAAGTATGTGTGGACTGGGCATGATTAGTGGAAGGGCTGGTCATGATCAGACAAGGGACTTGGGAAGATCAGAGAAGGGACTGGGGATGATTAAAAAAGGGGCAGGAGATGATCAGAGGAGAGACTTGGGATGATCAGAGGAGAGACTGAGCATGATCAGAGGAGGGGCTGGTCATGGTCAGACAAGGGACTTGGGATGATCAGATGAGGGACTGGGCATGATTAAAGAAGGGACAGTGGATGATCAGAGGAGGGACTTGGCATGATCAGAGGAAATACTGGGCATGATTAAAGAAGGGACTGGGGATGATCAGAGGAGGGACTTGGGATGATCAGATGAGGGACTGGGCATGATTAAAGAAGGGACAGTGGATGATCAGTAGAGGGACTTGGCATGATCAGAGGAAAGACTGGGCATGGTTAAAGAAGGGACTGGGGATGATCAGAGGAGGGACTTGGGATGATCAGATGAGGGACTGGGCATGATTAAAGAAGGGACTGGGGATGATCAGAGGAAAGACTGGGCATGATTAAAGAAGGGACAGTGGATGATCAGATGAGGGACTGGGCAGGATTAAAGAAGGGACAGTGGATGATCAGAGGAGGGACTTGGCATGATCAGAGGAAAGACTGGGCATGATTAAAGAAGGGACAGTGGATGATCAGAGGAGGGACTTGGCATGATCAGATGAGGGACTGGGCATGATTAAAGAAGGGACTGGGCATGATCAGAGGAAAGACTGGGCATGATTAAAGAAGGGACTGGGGATGATCAGAGGAAAGACTGGGCATGATTAAAGAAGGGACTGGGGATGATCAGAGGAGGGACTTGGCATGATCAGAGGAAAGACTGGGCATGATTAAAGAAGGGACTGGGGATGATCAGAGGAGGAATTGGGGATGATCAGGGCATGATCAAGGGTGGGACAGGGCATTGTTAAAGGAAGAGCCAGACATGATCAGTGTAGGGAGAGGGCATGATCATGAAGAAGGAATTGCATCACCTGGGAATATTGTAATCTAAACAAAATTTATTTTTTGTTTATTTCTTAGGCACCTGGTGAACCACAAGATGTGTTTATTAAAGTTGCATGTGGTGCTTCTCCTGCCATCAAGAAATTCTTTATTATTATTTATGGGTAAGTACATCTTTGACCTACATACTAATTTCCGTCTTTTCTTCAATCACACTTTGTTAATGAAAATAATATTTTACTATACATACAATTTATTGAGGATAGCCTGTGACAAAGATGGGTCATGTTTCCTTCGATCATCAGTAATGAAATCTTGGAGCTTTGTGTAAAACATGCTAGACTGTTTCTGGGAAGTACTGTAAAATTATTAATTTTCACTTGGTTTTAATTTCGCTGATTTAACATTTCAGGCATATTCAGTGGGTTTTAAATTCACGGGTTTATCATTTAATAACGTGTTCTATGCTAAATTTTACATATTCACTGGCATTTTCCAGTCAGCGAAATAAGCAAAATTAAAATCCAGTGAATAATTAATCCCTTTACAGTAATCTGAAATGTTGTAGCAGGGACAATACAGTTTATTATGATCCTACATAGAATAGCAGGGAACATGGATTTGTCTTGTTTATTTTTATTATGTGAGCAAATCACAAGATGTAAAAATATAATTCATGGCCATTTATTATTTTACTGATCCCTGACTTAGTGTTACCTTCATGTACATGTTTTTAATTTTGTTTTAATATTTTTTCACAAATTTCCAGGCTTGTGGCAGCCATGGTGTTCACAGTTCAAGTACATAATTGAAATAATTCTGTTTTGTTTTCAGTGATCAATTCCTATCCCGTCCAGTTCAAACATGGCAGTTTTATATCCATGCCTTACAAAGAGTAGATGTGACCTGCGTAGAAGGTCAAACCAGTAGATTTTCACTTATCCTAAGGGGGACACAATCATCAAGACTAACTCAATGCTTCTCATCCCATCCAATAGAAATGCAGGTAAGAAATTCCATACTAGATATCTTAGTCCTTGAGGTTATTGTGTTTATACTCTGCAGTGTTCATCCCAGCTGAAATTACTTGTTTGGTGCATAATATGTAAATTAATATTATATAATTTGCATATTTATTTCCTTACACATTAACATATCAGTCCCTTGGCATTTAAGTGACTGAGCTTGGTAAAAATACTGTGCTTATAAGGACCTATAGCTTCTTTATATTGACATCTTACATCAAAAAAACCTTGTCTTCCTGACTAGGTCAGCACTTGAAATCATACTGTACCAATTATGTATGATTTAATGTTTGCTGATATTCAGTTTACCAATTCTTTGAATATGGAACTAACTTGTTGATTACTGTGTTAAACTAGCAAGCAAAGCATGGTTGGAACACTTCCTCCCTCCATCTGACTTCCATTGAAACATACACCTGTGTTATTGCAGAGAAATCTTTTGTTGACTGATGTTTTTTTTGTTTTTTTCAGATCTCGCCAGTGGAACCATTCATGTTGTTGGCTAACTCTGTTCATGAGATCCATGTTGGTGTTCGTCCTACCTCAGTTGGGAGTAAATTCATGTACATTAATGTAGTTG